AGCCTTAAATGTTAATGATAATTTAAAGTTAATTTGTTGCAGTTCAGAGAGTCAGTGTAATTGAATCAGCAGGGGTGTGATACCAGTTCTGTTCTGTTCTTCCTGTAATCATGCTGATCATAAAGAGTGTATTTTTGATGGCTGCTGTCTGCTTTTTGTTGGTTTCTGGTAAATTGCGTATTTTTTAAACTCGAAATATTTGAAGCATGCAGCTTTTCTTTTTCCCGATGCTGGTTTTGCATTTGTAATTGTCATCCAGTGGAAGCAGTTATACTGTATTTTATGTTTGGCATATTTATTATTATCGTTTGCTTTTTGGTTAATAAATGTATTCCATGCATTCCTTTATTGTACAAATTTCTTGTTTTGATATTGCTTTACTTCCTACTCGTGACACTTTACATCTGCTTGGTTCAGTCCCACAACATAATGTGATTTCCAGCCAATCAAGGAAAGCTTCCCTTAGGCTAGGACCATTAGCATAGAAGACATTTACCTGTCCACATTTGTTAGATTACCTGTTATAAAAACAAGAAAAACACAAATATTTTGGAATCTATCAAAATCTTGTTTATAATTTAAAATGATTTGAAAAACATTATAATAATAATAAAAAAATTATACCCAAATTTAAGCCAGCACACTGGACTTGTCTGAAATGTAAGAAATAATTCAAACACATCATTCAAAAAACATTGTTTTTTAAACAAGAATTCAAATAAATTATGGTAATTTTAATTAAAAAATACAAATGTGCTTCACTATTATTTCTGTTTTTTTTAATTCAAAATTCATGAATAACAACAATATTGTATTTTACATTTAAAAATACCATTTTGATTAAAGAGCGTGTTCATGCTGGTAGAGCAACCATTACAGAAGCATGAAAAATGAGTTTTTAAACTACCTAGATTGTTAATTTAGGGCAACACTGGCATACACATTATATTTGGTGGTAGACCAATATGCTTTTTTAACCACAAGTGAAAAGAGATTGTGAAAAGCAAATGTCGTTTGGAGGACAATAAAAGAGGTTGAACCAGAAGAAATGTCTTGGAGGCCACATAGATGTTTTTCCAAGCATCTGGCAGAATTAAGTGTGCCGTGGAAGCATGTCCAGCGTGGAATCCATGAAAATCTACAATGTATCATGACAATGAAAGCCACAGCACTACATGTTCTTGATAGCCTACATTTTGAGAAAGGCCATTTTTTATTTATCCAAAAGCTCTATTTACTATTGGGACTCTGTAAGATTTTTGGCAGTTTTAACTGGTTTTATCTCCTGTATTGTTGTAGGCTTTAAGGGTGTGTTTACTTAAAGAATTATTATTATTACTTAAAATTATTTCTGTACCTGAGGTTTCCAGCAGAACATTGCTGACTAAGTAACACTGTGATATTGGGAAACCAGGCATCAGAGAAAGTGAAAGAAGTAAAAGTTTTATTGTAAGTAAGGAGATGCTTTCTCAGCATCAAATATTGGCTAGATTAAAGGTTTCCTACAGGGCAGCGCATGGCACACTAAAATGCTTTGCAGAAACTGGATCAGTTGCATCCAAAGCACGATCAGGCAGTGCAAAAGTAACACACTACTGGAAGATCAATACGTCAAGCTTTGTTCTCTCAGAGATAGAAAAGCAGCTTCATCACAGGTACAGAATTTGATAAATTAAGAACACAAGACTTCGAGTACTGAGAAAAGAAGAGGCTGTGTGGTAGTGTCTCAAAGGAAGAAAAGGTCCATGAACCACCTCACATTAGAGGAAACACTAGGGCTGTGTTAAGGTATATAAGTATTTCACAGGCTTTTGGTTCACACACAACCACGATCTTATAGGAAAATCCCTATCAGGGCGAAGAAACTCAAACGTCCACAGTATATTTGTGTGCGTCTGTGTGTCGTCTAAAGTTCTTCAAGGGACGACTGCCTCATCCAGTTATTCATTACAAGTTATTACAAGAGAAACAAGGAACAAAACTTATATACAAATACAAAAATACAAATCAAAATCAAATAGGAATCATGAACCCATAAAAACCCAAAGTCCTGGGTACAAAACCCAGGGATGATGACAGAGAGCCACATTTTAATTTCTACACTTAATGTAGATAGTACAGTCCATTCTGATAAAACTACTTAAAAAAAATTGCTTTTCCCTGAAAAATATGGCTGAAAACGTTTTTCACCTGTAAAGTTATACTTGATGATCAGCATGTCCAGTACACTGGACAATGCTAATTCACTTTACAGCTGTAAGTACAATTACCTACATCTTTACTAAAATGATGAGTATGTTGAAAATAATCGTTAACCTCTACCGCACAGCACACAACTGGCTCAGGTTTTTCACAAATTAGCTGCTGCTGGTCTCTTTGAGGGGCGACACACAATACCCTCAGTGGGTTAATATTCAGGATTCTTAGAGCGCTAACTCGCTAAAATGTTAGGGACAGCCCATACTGTAGCAGCCTATCAGTCACAAGATAGGCCCAGCCTAAAGTAAAATTTGCTTTGGTAATTAGATCTGAACTCATATAGCAATTTTCTCAAAGTGCTTTTTACTACATTTTTTTAGGTCTTAAATTGACATTTCTAATTTCCTCTAATTTGGCTTCCTGTGTTAATGTACATCCTCACTCCCTATGCTAATGTAAGATTTTGATTTCATATTAGCTTAAAGGTAAAGCACAGCTTCGGTACTGCAACCTGCCTCTTTCCGTGTCCTGCATTTGATTGGTCCTTTCAGAACAGTAACCCTAACAGTATCTTGTTTCCTCACTTGTTTATTTCTTTATTGCGATACTGTGTTTCATTGTGTTCCATCCTCCATCGACAGGCGAACGCATGGCCAAAGCAGAGCAGCCCTAATCAGAGAGAAACAGGACACATCCTCCCCATAATGAAGGCCGGACAGACACATAATAAGTAGCTCTCAAATACACGCTTGTCGTGATTCTTTTGTTTTCAGCCCAGAATATTTTTTTCTTTTTTTCAGCAGAGTGACAGTAATGCAGTCCTGCCACTGCCTGAAGAGAGGTTGGAGGACATCTGACTGTCACTCCCACAACATAGTGGAGGAGTGACAGTCACATGTCCTCCAACCTCTCCTCAAAGCAACTCTGCACATTAAATATGACGTTTTATCTCTTTTTATAAGAAAGTAAGAGTACTTAGGTGGTGGAGTTCATTCATATAATGATAATAAACAACAAACAGCTCAAATGAAATATTAAGCAAGACTGTTTGGATCACTATTTCCCTGTGAATTACTTTCTTTGTATTTTATGTTACAGAAATAGTAACATGTTACAGATTTTTGTGAATTACTTTGGCTTAAATATAATATTTAAGCCAAAGTAATTCATCCATCCATCCGCTTCCGCTTATCCTTTTCAGGGTCGCGGGGGGCTCTGGAGCCTATCCCAGCTGTCATAGGGCGAGAGGCGGGGTACACCCTGGACAGGTCGCCAGTCTGTCGCAGGGCTAACACATAGGGACAGAAAAACACACACACACACACACACCTATGGGCAATTTAGATTAATCAATTAACCTATCCCCACAAGCTGCATGTCTTTGGACGGTGGGAGGAAGCCGGAGTACCCGGAGAGAACCCACGCAAACACGGGGAGAACATGCAAACTCCACAAAGAAAGACCCCGGCCTGATGGAGGGATTGAACTCAGAACCTTCTTGCTGTGCGGCAACAGTGCTAACCACCGTGCCACCGTGCTGCCGCCAAAGTAATTATAGTGCTATATATTTTTACCATGTATTAAAATAAACACCAGGAATATTGTGGGATATGGACAGAGGTTAAGATGGATCTGGGAGAGAACAGTGATGCACTATCCTGGACTGTGGTGTTCACTTTAGGTTACTCAGCGGTAGCAAACAGCAATATAAATTTAAGGTGATGACGCTGATTAGACTCATTCATTCGTCTGTCAAGCAGTGTGTTAGGAACCTACTGTGATCTTTGCAGCATTGAAGTGAGATAGCTTGTTAGTCAGAAAATGAGACCTCTGATCCCTGCAGCTGTTGTAGCTGGGTTAAAATAGATCTAATTGCTTAATTAATATCACATAGATCCAAGTCTATGAAACACAGTGTTTAAAGCAGCCTGAGCTGTTGGTTCACAGAGATTACTTTTACATATGTTATTTGAAACTGTGACTATGTTTAATACGAGAATTTGTTAATAGTAACAACTATATTGGAGGATGAAGTGCAACCTGTTGCACAGTGTGATCGGCATCTGTGTCCTAAAAGAAACACAAAATGACTAAAATAATCTGAACCAGCTGAATACGTATGTGCAAAGACATCAGAATAAGAGACTTGGGGGCTGTGTCCACATTGTTTCATTTGTTTAAGAGCTAAATATACATAGAGTATGTAAAAAATATTTTTTATCTGAAGTCACCATTTATGGAATTCATCTTGCAGACATGGGAAGGGTCACGTTTACATATACCAAGGATGAGCCCTCTGTCACACAAGATGCCTCAAGCATCCAGCAATTAAACTTTTGAAATTAACTTTTTATTTATGTATTTTTTTAATGAAGCAGTAGTAGTTGTAATTATAGTATCAAATAACTGTAGAATACCTTTTGAAAGAAGAATATTATATCTTTTTAATCTTTCAGTTAAATGTATTAGTATTTTCTGTTTTATTAGTATTTAAACGTATTGACGTCAATTTTCTGAAAATGACAACACAGCAGACATATGTCTTCCGTCCTTCCTCTTTACATCTTTCTCCCTTCTTCTCAGCTTTGTTTGCCTCTCCATCTTCCCACACACGTTGTCCATTTGTTTTTTTTAATCTACCATCTCTCGTCTATCTTCGTCTTCTCCTTGCAGCCCTGCTTCTACCTCCTGACTCCTCCTTGCTCCCCCATCTTCTGCCTCCTCCTCCCTTGTCCATCCCTCTCTCTAATGAAAGAGGGATTTTTGAAAGAAAGAGAGTGAGAGAGAAAGAGAGACAGCAGAAAGAGGAGGTTGAAGTGGAGGGGTGGGTCCCTATAAGAGCAGCTGCCTCCAGCCTCCACGTAGCCAGAAACACCACACTGAGACAGAAGAAAGGAATCATACGCTGACAAACTGCATTCACCCAAGGGACCTCCTATTGGCAGCCCCAGAACAGGTAAGGAATCCTTGGCGAGCAGGAGGGAGTAGTACAGGAGGAAAAGAAACTGCTTGACCTCTGACCTTTATATAAAGAATTTTTTCCTTTGTAGTTTTCTCAGTATTGTCATGCACTAACCGTTTGTTGTGTGTATTGTTGAAGAAACCCCATAGAAACTATACATTTACATTCATTTGACTCGTCTTAGTTCCTTTAAGGGTGAGTGATGTTGCATTGCAAGCCCTGTTTAGACAGCCCAAAAGATAACAATGAAATCTAAATTTAGCAGAAAATACAAGATAAACAGGAGAAAGAAGAAACCAGTGAGTCCTTTTTAAGAGTAAAGCTTTATTATCCCAGTCAGTATGTGTCTTCATTGCTACTCTGTCACCCACACCTGCTGGAGTCTCCCAGGATAATTACTTTAATAATTACTGAGTAATAATTACTTCTGTGTCGTTACCTTCTGACATTTGAGCTTAATCTCACTGAAAAAAAAATATAAAAAATATCTCAAACTGTAAGTGACAGTGTGAGTTAACACAGTACCTCAGGTTAAACACTTTGTGTTCAATAGAGTCAATGCATCTGCTCTTAAAGAGCAGCTACAGACCTCAATGTTCCTTAATATGTATGATTAAGAAGTTAGCTATTAGTGTTGATTAAAAAGCAGAAAGTTATGTACAGAACACAGAGCATGACGTGAAGAGGCTGCATCTGAGGAGTACACATGCATTTTAATTTGTAAGCACATTGGCAGGTAGCAGATAGAAAGGTCATAAATTGCTGGTCATGATTTGTCATTAATCATCAAGCTCTGATTCACAGCTGATAGGATCCAGGAATGAAAGGGGACTCTTTGCAGGAATATGTTGTTTGGGTTCATCTGAAGTAATGAAAGGTAATTTGGATGAGCTCATGTTGCCTAATGAGGGTAAGATTTTGCAGAACTCCCTTCATCAGAGGAATATTTTTCGATTTTTTTTGACGCAGTTGCCTGAAGGTTATGTTGTTTTTAATGACAGCTTCTGCCACATTCTTCATTAAAGTAAAAATACTTTGGGTTAATTATGACCAAAACAATTACATGAACATTAACCAGTATGAGCTCTCATGTAGTAGATACTTATAGACTGCTCTCAGCTTATTTTGAGTCACTGGTGTAATTTGGAATGAACATTGCTACTTTAAAAGGTAGCGGCTCAGAAATCAAGGGTTTTACTGACAACAACTGTGAATAAGTCTCAAGCTTGTTTTGTTGTTGTCATTCAGGACCAGTTGTTCAGCTCCCTTTATAAAATATAGAGACTAAAAGGTTCAATTAAGTAATATAAATAGATTTTATTGACATCTAAGGCACCTGGACACATCTGGCCAGTCGTTTTGCTCCAGACTTCAATGCTCTTTATTACCCCGTTCAAGAGCTGGAGTAATGAATCAAGCTAATAGGATTGATTAAAATGGTTGGATCTTTTATCAGATTTATCAAATGACAATTTGATGACACATACATCATCCATTATAGTTTTTAATTTTCTTTAATTAATGAATCATGTTGTCTAACTAATAAATGTAATAATTAATTTACTATTAATCATTGTAACTAATTATTAATCAATCAATTTTAAACATGAATCTTATTTTTCTGTCATTTATTTGCATTAGTAGTACTAAAATAGCAGCAGCCTCCTTCTTACATAGTTTATTAATATTATTCTTCCTGTGCCTTTAGGCATTTAATAAACTGATTACTAAGAGCTGCATTTATTCAATCTCTTAAAAAAAATCTTTATAAAGTCAATAACAAATTTGAATATATCTTTTTTCATATTAATAATTAGCCTAAGGTTATATTTAGCCTGGGGCACACTTTTCCTTTGACCTTCAAAGAAATTGTTTAAACAAAGGCAACACTGATGATGGAATTTTCTGTAGTAAACTTTTGTTTAAAGACCTTTTTAACAACTGTTAATCCTTGGTCTTGTGTCAGTTTATATTCATCTTCAGGAATATGTTTACAGACAGTGCTATTAAAAAGAATAAAAATAATAATAAAGAAGCGTCTGCTTTCTTACACTTCACAGTAAAATTTCCTGTGGGTACAACAGATCAGGGTAGAAGATGTTCCTATAGCTGTCTCGTTGCAGGTGTTTTGCGTTGACTGAATAAAACCAGATAAGGAATGTCTTTGGTGAGGCTGCATGAACACTAAATAACACTATAAAAATGTAATGCTTACATTTTGAGGAATAATTTGAAAAGAAGTTGAGGATTTGGTGTGGGTGGTTTTAGGTAAACACGCTTTTGTATTCAGAGATACTGATGTATGCAAAATGAGGTTTATATTGTAGCTCAGTTGTACCATTGTGAAACACATAATCTTGTAGTGATGAACATCCTTTCATTTTGTGGGCGATTTCATTGTGTACCTGCAGAAAACCTGACAAACACTGCCAAAGTGACAATGAGAGATAGTGAGAGAGATGGGATTTCAAAACAAACTGTAATTGCAAACAAAATGTTTGAAATGTCTAAGACAGCTATCTTAAACATTGTAGAATCAATCCAAAGAGACAAAAGAAGGCTCACTCACGGAGCTCTGAGCTTTTTTGTTCATGACATAGCTTGTCTTGCAAGTTTAATTTCTCAGTTTTTATTCAGACAAGAAAATTTCTTACATTTCTTATCCCTATTGGAAATATTTTCAACTCATGCCTTCAGCCAAATGCATCAAATATAATGCTTCTCCTGGCTTGTAAATTGTGGAATGTATTTAGTGATAGGAAGAGAACTGTGGATTAGAAGGGATTTCAGAATCAGAATCAATAAAGTATTCTGATTCTGAAATCCCTTCTAATCCACAGTTCTCTTCCTATCACTAAATACATTCCACAATATCATTATTTTTTATAGTGAGATATATATATTTTATTCCAGCACAGTTTGTGTGAAGAACCTACAATTTTGTTGTACATGTTATTTTCTAATTCTTTTCTATTCTATTCTATGTGGATACACCTCGTTAACACTCACAAAACATTCTCATTTAGGGTAGAAGGGGAAAATGGAATGAGGAAATGATTGCTGGATCACAGGTCACACGGCATAGTGCTGGGGTACACATCTCTGACAGCAGCATTGAACTGCCTGTGAACGTGTAGACTTAATCCAAAGATGCAATGTTCCTAACACAGCAGGATCTCCAGCCATCCTTTTATGCTTATCTATCCTTTCACAGACCCCTCTCCTTATCGTCTTGCTGTGTTCCACTTTTCCCCTCTGTTTCAACACCAAATAGAAATGATTCATGTCAGATACAGTCTGTTGAGCAAGAAAACCCTACTTAAGGTTACTTAATTTCTTCGATATCTACTCAAGAAAAAAACTAGAAGTCATGATTATTGCTGTCTAGATACAGTCTCCATACTTTCCCTCTGTCTTAACACGTGACGTAGATATATTAAAAGACCTGGATGTGACCTTCTTAGTGGCAAAGGATGAGCCTACTCCCTTGAAATTGCATGCTTCCTCAAACTAAATTGCAAGAGCAGAAAGGCATAAATGCAATTAGATTTTTTAAAATATCTTTTACGGCAACGACAAAGCTTTGATCATTAGTGCATTTGGCAAGCAACAAATAATTGTTAATATATTTACTATTCAATCTTGCATTGCAATATTTACTTGTAGTTCCTGCTACATCTGTTGCTGCTACATTTTGATATGGGGAAAATTTGAAACATGATACGTTTCTATGCTATTATGCATGACGTACAAGCCTCAGGCAAAATTATTTATTTTTATATTTGTTGCCTAATACTAGCCAGTGATGGGAGGCAGGATGTGAAAAATGTTTTTTACAAGAAAGCTGAGTGCTTTGTATGTCTCATATCCACCTCAATCACCTCCTGCAGCCTGTTATACCTTTTGAATCTGTCAGATTTTAATTAATCTTGTAATTAAATTAACATAGTCGTAATAATATAGAACAAGAAAAGATTAAAAATGAATAAATGAACAGGTAAACACTATACAGTAATTTTTTTTTATTATTAACAAATGATAAACATTTGTTAAACTTATTAACAAATCATTTTAACATTTAGATTTTTAAAACTTTTCAAACTACTACTACAAATTATTGTGAAAGACATCATGCTGTAGTAAATCGGTAGGCAGTGAAAGAGGGAAAAAAATCTGGTTTTGAAGGAACTTGATCTACAGCTTTGACTTTACAGATCAAAGTGTAAATTAAGTTCAAGGGAAATTATGTCTGGCATATCCATGTTCCAAATCAGGAGTTAGTAATTTACTGAGGAAATTTGGTGATAGGGCGTGCAGTCTGAGCCACAACTTGACCTGTTCATTTCAGTCATCTGTCAGTGAATCTCTGTAATAACTTGAAAAAAGTGCAATAATAACAAGAAAAATCATTGGGAAACCAGTCTGGTGTGACCTCTGTGTAAGTATGTGTCAGTCACCTCTACAACGTCAATTGACTTCAGGTGATTAGATGCATTGAGAAAGGAAATTGATTTAGCTTAGCGTGTCTGCTGTTAATGGCTTTAGCTGCTACGTCACACTCAGTCTGATTGACAGGGAACATGACCCCCTCCCCCCCAAAAACCAAATAAAACAAAACTTGAGGTCTTTTTCTAAATGTTTCCTCAAATCTGAGATTTATCGAATCACAGATGCATCAATCACAAAACTATATGAGTAATGGTGCAACTGACATGACCTCTGACAACGAAAGAGAAAGTTTAAAGAAATAACTTAGTGTTAAACCTTGTTTTTCCACACAGATGAGTTATAGCTTTTGGAACATTGATACTGAGACATACATGCAGAAAAAGTAGAGGTTGTAGTAGAAATGTTGTCTTGTTTTGGTGGGAAACAAAACAGTGCAAGTGAAAAAAAAATAGCAGCATAAAGTGTGAAAAGAACAAAAGACACTGAAACGGCGTCTTAAAAGAAAAGAAGAGTTGATAACAGGGGAGTATAAGAGTGCTCGTAGG